ATATATATTGTGAACAGCTGGGCCTTGGCACTGATCCTTGATGAACCCCACTAATCACTGCCTGCAAATCAGAAAAAAGACCCATTTATTCCCATTCTCTGTTTCCTGTATGTCAACCAATTCTCAATCCATACTAATATGTTACCTCCTATCCCATGTGCTTTAATTTTGCCCACTAACCTCTTATGAAGGTTCTTATCTAAAGCCTTCTGAAAGTCCAATAGGATAGTGATAGTGGAGGATTTCAACTTGCCCAACATTAACAGGATAGTGATATTTGAAAGGTTTAAAGGGATCAAATTCTTAAAAAGCATCCAGGAAAGCTTTTTAAGCCAGTGAACAGAAGGCCCAACAAGCCATGGACTTGGAATATAGGGTCTGTATTCACTGAAGTTTAGAAGGATGCGTGGTGATTTGATTGGAATGGATAAAATTTTAACTGGGCTGGACATATTGGATGCAGGGAAGGTGTTTCCCCTGGTTCAAAAGTCTAAAACCAAGGTACAAAGTCTGGGGTTGACCATTTAGGCTAAGATGAGGAAACATTTAGATAATGAAGCCAGACAAGTGGTTGAAGTATCAGTGAGAGAACATTTTGCAGACAGCAATCATAACTCTGTTTCATTCAAGATAAGATTCAAGATTCAGTTATGGAAAAAGACAAGGATGGGCCTGAAATCAATGTTCTCAGCTCAGGGAAGGCTGATTTTAGTAAAATCCAAAATGATTTGGCCAGAGTGGACTGGGAGCAGGTACTTTCAGGTAAATCTGTCTCGAAACAATAGGATGTTTTCAAAAAGTAAATATAGAGAATACAGGGCCAACATGTTCCCAATAAGAGAAAGGGTGGATCATCCAATCCTGTAAATCCTAAATATTGAGAGATATGCAGCATTGGATTGAGAGAAATGGGGAGCCTTATGGCAGATACCAAGGGCTCAAAACAGCAGATGCCCTAGAGGAGTATAGAATGTGTAAGGGAAAACATAATAAGGAAAGTTGGAGAGCCAAAAGGGACATGAAAAGGATAATGGCAAGTAAAATAACAGAAACCCTAAAAGTTGTCTCAGAGGCATATTAAGGGTAAACAGATAATGGGAAAAAGAGTAGGGTCCATTAAGGACCACAGCGGTAATTTGTGTGTGGACCCAGATGTAGATAGTGTTCTAAATGAATACTTTGTGTTGGTGTTCACAGGTGAGAGGGATGATATAGCAATAAAAATCAGGGAGAATGTCTGTGATATAATTAAAGAAATTAGCATAGACAGAGAGGAGATCATGAATGGCTTAAAAGTAGATAATTCTCCAGAGTCAGATGAAATGTATCTAAAGTTGTTGATGGAGGCAAGGGAGGAAATAGCAGGGGCACTGGCAATAATTTTCAGTTCTTCTCTGGCCGCAGGATAAGTGCCAAAGGACTGGAGAACAGATAATGTAGGCCTATTATTCAAGAAGGGATAAACCAAGAAACTACAGGGTTGTCACTCTAACCTCATTGGCAGGGAAATGATTGGATATAATTCTGAAGGACGGAATTAATCTACATTTGGAGAGGCAGAAATTAATCAAGAACAGTCGGCATTGTTTTGTTAAGGAGACATCATGCCTGACCAATTTAATTAAATTTTCCAAAGAGGTGACTAGATGTGTAGATGAAGGTGTGTGGGTGCATTTGACATAATCTACTTGGACTTTAACAAGGCTTATGATAAGGTCCTGCATGCTGACCGAGAGCAAAGGTAGGAACCCATGGGATCCAAAGACATTTGACAAATTGGATCCACAATTGGCTGAGTTACATGAAGCAGAGAGTGATGGTCGAAGGTTTTTTGTGACTGGAAACCTGTGTCCAATGGAGTCCCACTGGGCCAGTTGTTTTGACTGGCACAGACTTGATGGGCCAAAGGACCTTGTTCTGTTTTGTTGATCTCTATGACTCTTCCCACTGGCTTTCCTTTATCTATTCTACTTGTTAAATCCTTGAAAACCTCCAATAAATTTGTTAAGTATGGTTTGTTTTTCATAATCCCATACCGGCTTCAAAATTGGGGACACTTTGCACAAACAGATAGGTACCCAACTCACAGACTGGACCAGGCTGCATCACAGGGCCGCTCACTGGCTGTCTTAGCACTCACTTACTTAACACCTACCTGTACTCTCACTACATCCCTGCCTTGTCTTGCCTTTCCAGACGTACAACCAGGCAGCTTGTCTTGTCGGTCAGCAATCCTCAGTAAAGGGTGTGTGTGGCAGTGTGCTAAGTCACACCTGCACCATGTCCCAGCAGCTTACACAGTAAAGACACTGCATGTGCAGCAAGCAGGCAGCCAGGTTTCAAAGTCCTGGTGGAATAGTCCTCAGGAGGCACCTGTCAACCAGAGGTAGGCTCTGATACCAATCCAGGGGAGTTGGTCATGTTCAGGAATCCTGTTGGGGAAATCTAGATCAGGGGCTTTGTACCTCTGCAGTCCAGGGCTGTCCAGTTGGTCAAAGCGGTGGGCCACATTCTGTCCTGGGTCTGTCCACAGAGACTGAGGAAAAAGAAGGATGGGATTGATGCTGGTGGTGGAAGCGATGATGATTATTCTGGAAAGAGTGGGCAGGGGAAGTGTCTTAACCTGTGAAATGGGGCTTGCAAACTCCAACAATGTTGTAAAGGGAAGCAACATTATACACAGAGCCCTGCACTGTACAGGACACTGACCTGCAGAGTACCTATTCCCTGGCCTGGCTGCCTGTGTGCTGCACACATCTGTGCCACAGAGATCGCTGACTACTCTATTCACACCAACACATTTGGACGCAGAGGCCAGAGAAAGGATTGAATTGTTTGACTGTGAAGGGCAATGGTGTCTTGTTCATCTTGCTTCTGCATTCTGCAGCAGGATCTCAAAACAGACATCAATCTATGGAATATCTGGTGTGGACACAAAGTCAAGCATCATGCTGGCACACTTACATCTGGGGCTAACCAGAGACTCAAACAAACAGATGAAGAAGGAAAACAGTGAAATATATGCAAACGTGAGAATTGATGTGCCCTGCATTGTCACCCATGCCCTCAAAGTACCCTCAATAGGTTTTCTTCTTCTTCTTCCTGGTTAAGAGAGTCATGTTAAAAGGAAATATGTTTAATGTATTTATTTGAAGTTATCATGGATAGAATCCTTACAGTGTGGAAACAGGCTATTCAGCCCATCTCACCCCTCTGAAGAGTATCCCACCCAGATCCACCTCCCTACCATATCCCTGTAACCCTGCATTTCCCATGACTAATCCATCCACTCCACACAACCATGGACACTATGGGGCAATTTAGCATGGTCAATCCACTTAACCTGCAAATCTTTGGACTATGGGAGGAAACCAGAGCACCCAAAGGAAACCAACACAGACATGAAGAGAATGTGGAAACTTCACACAGTCACCTGAGGGTGGAATCAAACCTGGGTCCCTGGTGTTTTGAGGCAGCAGTGCTAACCAATGAGCCACCATGAGTTCTTTCAAGATTTATTTTGTGCTGTAGATAAAGGGGAACCAGTAAATATATTGTATTTAAATTTCCAAAAGGCATTTGGTAAGGTTTCATATTAAAGTTTGTTGTGGAAAACAAAAGCTGATGGTATAGTGGATTACATTTTGGCATGGAGAGCAGATTGGCTGGCTAATGGGAAGCTGAGAGTAGGAATAAGTGAGACTTTCTCAGGCTGCAGGAGGCCACAAGTGATGTGTCACAGAGGGATTCGATAGGTAAAATGATTAGGAAAAGATTTGGCAAATGATGTACAATGTGGGAAAGTCTGAAATGACTATTTTAGAAGCAAGAATAACAAGATGTGTGTTTCTAAATGGTGAGATGTTGCAGAGCTCTGAGATGCATTGGGATTTGGGTATTCTAATGCATAAATCATAGAAGGTGAGTATGTGGGTCAGCAAGTAATTAGGAAAACTCATAGAATGTTATGTTTTATTGTGAGGGGATTTGAATGCAGGAGGAGGGAGGTTATGCTTCAATTATACAGAACATTGGTGAGACCACATCTAGAGTACCATGTACTGAAATGGTGACCTTACTTACGGAAGGATGGTAATGTGTTGGAACCAGTTCAGAGAAGGTTTACTAGACTAAACCTGGAATGGGCCGATTGCATTACAAGGACAGGCCTGTATTCTCTGGAGTTTGGACGAGTCAGACATAAGTTAATAGAAACATATAAGATCCTGAGGGGACTTGACTAGGTGGATGTTGAAAGGATATTTCCTGTTGTGGGGAAATCTAGAATTAGGGGTCAGAGTTTAAAAATAAGGCGTCAACCATTTAAGTCAGAGATGAGGAAAAAATGTTTCTCTTTGGGGATTGAGAGTCTTTAGAATTCCCTTTCTCAAAATAGAAGTAGATAATGGATGCAGAGTCTTTAAAAATTGTTAAGGCAGAGTTTGATGGATTCTTCATTACCAAGGGGATGAAAGTTTATCTGGGATATGTAGGAATGTAGAGTTGACATTAAAATCAGATCAGTCATGTATTATTGAATGGTGGAGCAGGCACGAAGGGCTGAGTGGCCTTCTCCTGTTCCTTGTTTGTAAGTTTGTATGTTATGTAGCTGGTTGGAGATAGCCTCCTCTGTAGTGGAGCCTGTTGGCCCTGGAGGTTTGATCAGGGAAGCAGGGGTGAAGGATGGTATCTGGATGGCCCAGACACACTTAGCATCCTCTTACCAGTGGCAAATCAACCCTTCCTAACTTGAACCTCAACTCAAGGAGATGGGAGCAGAGGTCCCAGTCATCTCTCAAGTGTCCTATGTGTGCTTTCTCCTTTGACTGGGTGCCTCCTGGCATTGCCCTGTGTCCTTGTGAGGAAGGAGCATCTGGACTAGGGTCAAGGCTCCCCAACATCTTGTTGCCATGCCCTCAGTCCTGGGGACCAATGGCTGGGGCAATGAAGTACAGAGGTATATCACTGTCTAGCAGACCCTGGGGAGCTAGACCTGGTTCTCTATGGCAGCTGCCAACCTGTCCTTGGTGGCAGCCAGATGATCTCAATGAGGGCCATTTGGTCCCACATACCGTACTCTTGTCCTGAGAAGTCGTGGAGGTGTCTTCTAATGGAACTGGGAGTTTTTCCACAGACATACTGGAGATGCTGTTGGTACCTGCATGACAAAAGAGTGGCCAGTGGTTACAAGAGGTGGGCAATGATTGAGAATGGCATTAAGGTTAATGGGAGGGTGGTTCTTACTCAGTTGGTGGGATGTTTCTGCATCCCTGAAGCACCAATCCTAGTCTTCTCTTGCAAGGGACAGGATTTTCCTCTTAGAAGCTGAGGACTCGAATATTGGCCACCCCTCTACCGACTTGGACCCTTTGTGCTCTCCTCTGAGCAGTCTTCTCCTGTAATGGGAGAAAGTGCGAAATGGAATTAACTGAAAGTGGGTGGCACAGCTGTCAGTGGGGGTGCAGGTGGGAAGATGATGAGGTTTTGCGAGGGTGTGAGTAGGCAGGCAGAGACGAATGAAATATGAGACTGGGGTGCTGAATGAGTGAGGGAAAATGCTGCTGACAATGCTGAGTGGTAGACTATGAATTTCTTGGTTGGAAGTTGGTGTCGTAGCAGAGGCAGAGTGAATGAAAGGTGGCAGAGAGAAGAGTGTAGCACTTACCCTGGCAGACTGGAGAAGGCCACCTGACTTTCTGACAGCATTGCCGATCATTCTTCCACATGTTGAGATGACACTGACTCAGGTGGTGACCTCGCACCAGGTTGGCAGTATCTGGGTGCAGTTTTCTCCACCAGTTTTCCAGGAAGGGGATTCCTCTACACCTCCAGGTCCTGTCGGAGAATTGCGATGCCATCTTCTTCTTCTCTGACATCTTCTGACTTCTTGACCAAACAGAGCAGCTTTGGAACACCAGTGCTCATCCGGGTGCACAGCAACCTTTCAAATATGGCATGGGTGCCTTCAGCGAATATCTACCGAGTGGTGAGTTGTTCTAGGAATGATGTGTGATAAGTTGGGGTTAGAATTGGATGTACATGTTATAGGGTTGGGGAACAGGTAGTTATTGAAGCAGGTTTGGTAAGATATCTTGCCGGGCATTGCGGTGAGAATCTTCGCAAAAACTCTGCAACTCGCACTTAGTCAAAATAATGTAAGATTCAGCCCCAGTACAGCAACAATCTTGTCCTTTGGTCATGACAAATAAGCTTAGGTGAAAACAGAGATTTAATATGTGTTCAAAAACCACTTGATCAAACCTATTAAAGTAGTTAGAATTTTCCACACTGTAATTCATTTTGAAAGATTTATGAGCCAAGTTGTAATTAGTGTATGTCATTGTTTAGTTTACTTAGATGATGTAGTAATATACAGAAACATATAAAACATGAGAAGAACATATAAGACAATTGGAAACCGTATAGCATAAAGATTGTTCATATTGCTAGAAAAGATAATATTGCTGATGTGCCATTAAGATTGTAATTATGTGAATAGTTTGGAGATTAAGTAGGTGACAAGAAAGTGCATAGATTTTATATAAAAAGCAAATGAAGATGAATGAATATGAGAAAAAAAAAACACAGAAAGAACTGCAAATATTAGAAATCAGAAACAAAAACAAAAACAAAAACAGAGGTAGCTGGTGAACCTCAGCAGGTCTGGCAGCATCTCTGTAGAGAAAGCAGACTGAATGTTTCAAGTCCAGTGACACTGAAGAAAGTTCTGAACAAGGCTCATTGGGCCCAAAACATTAACACTAATTTCTCTCCACTGATGCTGCCAGACTGGCTGAGTTTTTCCATCAATTTCTATTTGTGTTTTTGTGTATGGATGAATCAGTTTTTTTTTGTGTTTTGTGTTGTGTATGCTTCATGTCTACATCATAATCAAAAACATTTGGATATAGTATTTCATTCCCCAATGGAGGAGGCACATTGGGAATACATATTTATATTCAAGGAATATCCACACAAAAACTGGAAGATTTTGGATTATTTGTGCATTATCTGTGTTGAGGTGAGTTTTACTGAGTGATTTATTGAAAACAGAAATCTACAATTTAATATGTGCTCAAACCATCTGCTTTTTACTGTAAATCCAGTGACTTTGGTGAAACAGCTAAGCAAAGTTTTCTAAAAGATAAGAGATGGGCTTTCCTTCCAAAATCAATGGAGAAACTCTTAACTTTGAGAGGATCTAAGCCAGTGGTTCGTTATAGCCATCTTTAGACTAGTTCAGATCTACCAAGGAGGCACTGTAAAGAAGATACCCTAGAACTTGCAGCCATAGAATCATACACTACACAAGATGCCATCAAGTCTATTACCAAGAATGAATAAACACGAGTCTCAATTTCCTGCATTAGGTCCATAGTCTTGAATGTTATGATCCTTCAAGTGCTCACCCAAATACTTTTTAAAGCTTGTGAGGTTTCCTACCTCAATTACCCTCTCAGGCAATGCATTCCAGACCCCACCACCCTTAATTTTTTCCTTAAATTCCCTCTAAATCTCCAGCTTTTCACTTTAAAATTATGCCCCTTGTTTTTAACCTTTTAACTGAATAGCTTACTTCTGCTCCTATTTTCTATGTTTTGTTTCAATCCCTCGGCTCACAGGCATTGTATTTTTCCTTTAACCTTTTAAAAAGTGTCATTTCTGCTGAGACTTGTTTTTTGTGCGTATGTGTGCATGTACGTGTGGGTGTTTGTGCTTGGCATTAGCTTTTAATTCATGAACACAGCTTAGATGTTGTCCAGTGTTTGCCATTTGCTTTAAGAATGAGTTTTGTTTATAATAAACAGATTATTTTGAGTTCAATAAGTAAGCCTGGTGAATGTTTCTTTTGGATAATAAACAACTGACCATTTTTGTAACTGTGTTAAGACATTTACATCAAAGAATGTGACGGGTGCAGTGATGGGTCTTGAAGATCAGTGTATTCCTCGTATCACAGTTATAATCTATAACATACACAGTGTTTGTTTCTGCTTAGACTCTGCTCGTTATCCTCAGCCATTCAGAATGTGAGCTAACGCTTCATCACCCAATTGGTGGTTGTTGATTGGCAGTTAAACAGCCTTTTTTTCCACTTCCAATCTGACAAACATATTCTCTGAAGAGACAAAATAAGAGCAGGAGGCCGTTCATCGCCTTGAGTTTTCTCTGTTATTCAATAAGATCATGGCTTATCTGTTTGTGTTTAAGTTCCACATTCCCATCTAATCCTTGATAATCTTTGATTCACTCACCTAACAAGAATCTGTCTATCTCCACCTTAAAACGTATTCAATGACCCTGCCTCACCACCTTCTGAGGCAGAATTCAAAAGCTCTCAGAGAAAATAAATGCTGTCATCTGTGTATGAAAAGGGCAACCCTGTAATTTTATAATTGTATTCTCTAGTTCTAGACCTTTTCCACGTCCACCTTGTCAAGACATTTCAGGATTTCATTCAAAATCATTCTTTAGACTCCACAGGAAACAAGCTCAGTTTATCCAACATTTCACCATGAAACAACCTACTTATTCGATGTATCAATCCTCTGAACCATATCCAATGCATTTACATCCGTCCTTATATAAGGAGACCAAAACTGTACATTGTATTTGAAATGTAGTCTCATTGATGTCCTATCTAGGAAAAGCACATCTCAATGATGTTCGTCCTGGGTTTGCTGATGACAGCTTTCGGCTGTTTAACTTTTCATTCCTGGAGATTCCAGGACAATTCTATTCAGTTGGTCACTCAAACCTGGGACAAACCCCAGAGTTTATCACCCAGTCATCCTGGCTTTGTGGCAGGGCAGCCCCTCTTGCACTTTGTGGAGGATTAGATATGAGTCTGGACCTGGAGCTTGGCCTGGGGCCAGGAACAGAGGCTCAGACAGGGAACTGGACCAAGAACTCAGACTGGAGCCTGCACCTGGAGTTTGGATTGAGGCCTGGACCTGGACTTCGGACTGGGGCCTGTGCCTGGGGCTTGGACTGGGGCCTGGATCTGAGGCTTAGATTGGGAGCTCAGGTGGGGGCCTGGACCGAGCCCTGGACTGGGGGCTCAGACTGGGCCTGGACCTAGAGCATGGACTGGGGCCTGGACCTAGAGATTGGAATGGGGCCTGGATTGGTATCTCAGATTGGATTTGTGATTAGGCATTGAGCTGGGCCTGCGTCAGGATTTGTGTCAGTTACACAGTCTGAGGTCACAGGGGAAACTGCTCGGGATCTTGCTAAGGCAAAACTGAGAAGTTCTTATTTGCTTCTGTGAAAGGTGAATAATTTATTAAGAAAACTTGTTGCTCAGGCTCCTTGATCTTGCTGGAGGGTGGGATTCAGATTGGGAACAAAGCAGCACTCCCAGTATCTGCGTCAGTGTCATGGAAACAGGCACATGAGCTGACTCCACCCTGCCTCAGAGCAGGGCCAGGCTCACAGACACTAGGCCACTGCTCCTGAGTGGATCCCACCCCGAAAGCCCCTTCATGCCCTGACACTCTGTCCCCACAAGAGAACCTGCTTCAGGGAATGATGGAGACTCGAGGAGGGGTGGGAACAGGGGGCGCCTGTTAGAGGCCACAGTCACAATGGTAAAACAAATCAAAGAAAGAATCCTCCGCTGGAGTTGTTTATTTGAAAGACTTACATTTTTAAACAGTTTAAAATATCTCCGGCACGCAATCAGCACTTGCAGACTGAGCACGTGAGCAAGCTGCCTGTGAACAACTGACACAGAGCGAGAGAGAGCAAGGCCCCACACAGAGCAGGAGACTAAGCAAAAAGGTGGGTGATAATGTGAAGGGGGCAGAAGTTGGCAGAATTAGGAGACGGGGCATGAGGCACTGGAGGGAGGTAGAAATGAGTGACAAAGGGGCAGTGGGATTCAATGGAATGGCATAGGGAGACAAGGGGCAGGAAGAGAGGGAGAGACGAGGGGAGCAGAGAAGGGAGATAGCAAAACGTGGAGAGACAGAGAGAAAGAGATGGAATCAGGAGATAGACAGGTGCAGACAGAACAACAGAGTCGGGGAGACAGAAAAGTATGCTACAGGCAAAAGACAGAGTTACAGACAGAGACAAACAGAGATGGAGAGGGATGAGGAAACAGTGAGAGATAAAGAGAAGAAGAGTCATTGACAAAGAAATGGAGAGAAGGAGATGGTCAGAGAAAAGCAAAGAAAGAGTGTCAGGGGGCAAGCTGGTGAGGTAGAAAGAAAAAGAATGCCAGTAGAGAGACTGAGAAAGCGAAAGGTGGAGAGAGACAGAAAAAGAAAGGCTTCGGGACATTTCGAGTGACAGAAAAGAGTGAAGAGACAGAGAAATGTCAGGAGAGACAGAGGGAGAAATAGTATGAGGTAAAGAATGAAAGAGAGATGGAAAGAGGCTGATCAGAGGAAGTGGGATAGAGAGAGACAGACAGAGGGAGAAAAGAGATGAACAGTGAGGTAGATGAGGCGGAAGGCTGAGAGAGAGAGAAAAACAGACAGATTCAAAGAGGTAGGAGGAACAGAGAGAAATGGAGCAAAGGTGAGTTAAATACAGGAGGAAGACAGGCAAATGGAATGTAAGAGACAGAACAAGGAGGCAGAAGGTGGCAGAGAGATAGGGACACAGACAGAGACTGGCAAAGGAATAGAGAGATAGGGGGACAGACAGAAAGATAGACAGAGATGCAAAGGGACAGATTATATTAGAGTTAGAGAACTAGAATCAAAGAAAGAGACAATGTGGCCTGGTTCAGCCACATCTGGAGTATTGTGTCCAGTTCTGGTCGCCTCAATACAGGAAAGATGTGGAAGCGTTGGAAAAGGTGCAGAGGAGATTTACCAGGATGTTGCCTGGAATGGAGGGAAGGTCTTACGAGGAAAGGTTGAGAGAGCGAGGGCTTTTCTCTTTAGAACGACGAAGGATGAGAGGTGACTTGATAGAGATGTACAAAATGATCAGAGGTATAGATAGAGTGGACAGCCAGAGACTTTTTC